CCGCACACTAGCCGATTTTTTGTCGTAGAACTGCAGATTTTTGTCGGGGTCGAATCGGGTAAAAATTTGTCGGGCCATCAGCTTGCCGCACACTAGCCGTTTTTTTGTCGCGGCAAACCGCGTTGAGGCGAGGAGCCGAGTCATCCGAAATCCAGATGGCGCCTATTCCACTGACGTGACTCTCATGACATTTCCTAATTGGTTGGGGCGTGCGCGAGCCCCGACAAATTAATTGTCTTGGTCCACCGCGCACTAGCCGACAGGGCCCGACAAGCCTCGATCTTGTTGCAGACTTGTCTGAATTTACAGCACACTAGCCGGCTAGTGAAGAATTTTTGTCGGGCGACAAAAAATCGGCTAGTGTGCGGCGGCCTTAATTTAGTCATAAGTAAATACGCAGATAAAAAGAGGAATTAATTAAACAGGGATTCGATATTGTTTACACAGTAAACACCTGTCGACGCAGATACAGCAGCATTAAACAAATCTTATATATTTACCGAAAATCTAAGCTCCAGGCGCTTCTTTCGTTGAATTTCCTCGTGTGTCCCCGAGAGAACAGAAAAAAAAATAGAGTCCGTCAGCCATTGTAAAACAGAGAATCACTTTAATTTCTCGTTCGAAAATCCAAGGAATACCTGCTTGACCATCGAACAAAAATCTGACTCAACTGCAGGCTGTAAACAGTTCGATAAGTAACTTCATGGCCAGTAGATTTAAATGAAAGGAAGCAAATAGAAACAATAAAATTTTCTAATCGCAGTTGCAACTAGTTACACTTCAAATTCTAAATTAAGTCTGGGAACAATCTCAATGTCTAATTTTTCATTGAGATATAATCTGGAGACTAACAGACCTAGCTGATGCAGGTGATTTTAATAATTATAAATAATGTATTTCTCCTACCGCACCCAAGTACTTATCACGTGTTTCTATTGGACATTAAATAATATCAATTTCAGTTCTGCTGTGAAGCCTACTGGCAGCTAGGCCTGACCTAAAACAATTTTACGAATCATCAGTCGAACAAAGTCCAGCAAGAGATACGAGAAGAGCTTTCATCCAAATAACGAACGCTATCAAGATTCGAAGACTGAATTTATCTATACTTCAACCTTAACCCAGCAAGATGTCTGTTCTGGCAGTTCTCTTTTGCATCGCAGCAATGCTACATGCGACAGACGCATTTTGCGAGCGGCTGTACAAGAATCCATACTGGATACCCAAGGCTCTATGGCAGAGAGCAGCCGAAGCCGACATTGTCATTTACGGCAACGTGGTGGAAAGTCCATGCGCTAAGCCAATCTTCGTGGTTCAAAATACCACGACGGTCTCTCCGACTAACACCACAAACTCGTCAAGTACCGTTCAAGAAGTAACGCCCAGAAGCGTCGTTAACATCACAGAGGGAAATATGACAGATATCTGCCCCATGCGTGGTCTCTACAACGTAACATTGAATGTCTCGTGTGTAATCAAAGGAGGATCTATACCGCACCAAATCCATCTGAGTTCATTCGGCTTTGGTCCAGAGAAGTGTGTATTCTACAGCGTAAGATATAATTACTGGGAAACAGCGCAGTCGTTCCATGTATACAAAGGACTAAACTACCTTATCTTCTTAGGACGGTGAGTTTGAAGACCTTAGCTTCTTTTTCAATTCCTTGCCGCTTTTTCAGCTTTTTTTTTTTTCTTTTTTTGTTTCTTTTGTTTCAGCAGATTCTATGAAAATTGAAATTTGATTGACGACTCGTGTCTTTCCAGTCACGTTCGCCTTTCTGTTTTTCTTTCAGATATAATTGTGGCAGTACTTTATATCTAATTATTTACGTCAATAAAGCTTAGTGTAGACAATGAAACAGGCGTCGATCTTGTTGTCTAGACACTTCTGAAATGCGCACCAAACAGAAAAGCGTGGAATTTGCTTTTGTTTGCCTTAGTCTACGAACGAACATATCATCCAATTGCAAATCCTCTAGACTGCTTTTCAGATGGGCCTCTGGTTAGCGCCAGGATTCGAGAACTCTGTACTTGTCCTCACCTTTGTGATACGTACATGAAAAAAGTATCTAAAGTGTATTTATTTATAGTGTTATAGAAGAAAGAAATCGACTGTGTATTCTTTAAATCACATTCACAGTAGACGTTAAATTGTGATATTAGGGCGGGTTTTCCACCTGTTCCACTCGTAAATTATTAATTACAACAATTTTGCAGATGCTGTAGAATGACTAAAGAATTATAACGGCTTTTTGTTGCAGTTGTTAAATTTCAGTTATGGTTAGACCGGATTCGTGCTATTTCCTCAATAAAAGAGTCTGTTTGAAGTTTGTTTTTGGTTGTTTGAAATTCGTTCTTGGAATGAAAATTCACGGAAGAGCGCGGTGTCATTTCCGCTCTGATCTCGTTCCCAGTCTCTCAAATTTGAGTGTAACGCCCTCTACCAGGTAGTCCATTGGCTCTGAGAGATGAGTCCATTGCAAAATCATTGCGGTAAAAATTTGAAAGTGTCTTAAATGAGATTTATTTTAATTGTAAATATAAACGTGAAACTCGAAGAGATTCCCTTGTATTTACTCTCATTCCATGAAACACCAGTCATATTTTATCTTGAATGAGTCTCTAACAACCGATATACTTTCTCTTGCAGACACACAGTAGCCAGTAATTCTCAGGGATTTTGGCCTCATGACGTCAACATGCAATACTCAGCGACAGAGATCACTGATGAGAAGTATCTCGAACGAGTCTTTCAGGCGACTGGTGGCCATGCGCACGCGCCTGCAGGAGTGAAAGAACCACACAGTATTTGTACCCCATATATCGCGGGCGCAGGGACTTCTCACGTGGACTTGTCTTTTGTTGTACTGATACTGCTGTTTACGAGTGGATTGCTTTCTTTCTAAATGTGCAGCTTGTCAAAATAATGTTGCTGCATAAAACTGTGTTAAACTTAAAATGACTAACTACGTTCGCTCATAAGGCCTCGCCCTCGAGCACTAGAGGTTCGAAGAAAGTGAATTGTTCAAGGGAGAGCAAATTGTTGCCAGGCTTCAGTTCAATTTGAGATCCAACTTTGTGCAACAACACTTTTTTCCATAGCTTCACTTCCCTAGCATAGTAACTACTAACAAAACTAGGCCACAATTTTAGGTTTTAATCGTATTTTGACTTTTTGAAATCCTGCTAAAGATTGTACCCCCTTAAATTAACGTGGAAGATTTTCCACCGAACGCAGTTATGAGCCAAAATATTATTTAACTTTTCACCCCTCACTGATCATGATCAACTTTTAATTGAGCACAGCTTACAGTTCATTTTTTTATTTGAGCGGTTATTAGCCTTAAACCAAATCAGAAATAACACTCAAAAAGAAGAACACTGACAACAAAACTAACGTGAACTAAGGTAAGCGCTGACAGCAAATGTAAATAGCCGGGCATGTAATGAAGCAATCAGATTTGGTAGTGAAAGCATGCAGTCTGCGCCAAGCAAGGGAAAATAATTCTACGCCAATGACGATTAAACAAAACCAAATATTTCGTATGGCTTATTTAGAGTTGATGACACGGCTTCCTCTGACCAAACCCCGATTAAACTCAGCTAACTCTGCAGGTCTTTAGAGTAGTAAACCCAACAAGGAATAATTCCAATTGTGTATTAATTTAGCGAGCTAGATACAGCTTTCCGCGGCACTAGAATTCGGTGCTCTTTCAAGGCTCAAAAACACCAAGAAAAAGAAACTTTACCTTACTGCTAGCAAATCATAGAAGTAAAAAAATTGACTGAACGAACTTTGTAAATAGAATGTTTAATATTTTTCCATGCAGTCCTTATCTCAGTTGTTTGATAGCAACTGCAGATTTTTGTCGGGGTCAAATCGGGTGAAAATTTGTCGGGCCATCAGCTTGCCGCACACTAGCCGGTTTTTTGTCGCGGCAAACCGCGTTGAGGCGAGGAGCCGAGTCATCTGAAATCAAGATGGCGCCTATTCCACTGACGTGACTCTCATGACATTTCCTAATTGGTTGGGGCGTGCGCGAGCCCCGACAAATTAATTGTCTCGGTCCACCGCGCACTAGCCGACAGGGCCCGACAAGACGTTTTGAGATCTAGCACTGTCAGATATCGCCCGACAAGCCTCGATCTTGTTGCAGACTTGTCTGAATTCACCGCACACTAGCCGACTAGTGAAGAATTTTTGTCGGGCGACAAAAAATCGGCTAGTGTGCGGCGGCCTTAATTTAGTCATAAGTAAATACGCAGATAAAAAGAGGAATTAATTAAACAGGGATTCGATATTGTTTACACAGTAAACACCTGTCGACGCAGATACAGCAGCATTAAACAAATCTTATATATTTACCGAAAATCTAAGCTCCAGGCGCTTCTTTCGTTGAATTTCCTCGTGTGTCCCCGAGAGAACAGAAAAAAAAATAGAGTCCGTCAGCCATTGTAAAACAGAGAATCACTTTAATTTCTCGTTCGAAAATCCAAGGAATACCTGCTTGACCATCGAACAAAAATCTGACTCAACTGCAGGCTGTAAACAGTTCGATAAGTAACTTCATGGCCAGTAGATTTAAATGAAAGGAAGCAAATAGAAACAATAAAATTTTCTAATCGCAGTTGCAACTAGTTACACTTCAAATTCTAAATTAAGTCTGGGAACAATCTCAATGTCTAATTTTTCATTGAGATATAATCTGGAGACTAACAGACCTAGCTGATGCAGGTGATTTTAATAATTATAAATAATGTATTTCTCCTACCGCACCCAAGTACTTATCACGTGTTTCTATTGGACATTAAATAATATCAATTTCAGTTCTGCTGTGAAGCCTACTGGCAGCTAGGCCTGACCTAAAACAATTTTACGAATCATCAGTCGAACAAAGTCCAGCAAGAGATACGAGAAGAGCTTTCATCCAAATAACGAACGCTATCAAGATTCGAAGACTGAATTTATCTATACTTCAACCTTAACCCAGCAAGATGTCTGTTCTGGCAGTTCTCTTTTGCATCGCAGCAATGCTACATGCGACAGACGCATTTTGCGAGCGGCTGTACAAGAATCCATACTGGATACCCAAGGCTCTATGGCAGAGAGCAGCCGAAGCCGACATTGTCATTTACGGCAACGTGGTGGAAAGTCCATGCGCTAAGCCAATCTTCGTGGTTCAAAATACCACGACGGTCTCTCCGACTAACACCACAAACTCGTCAAGTACCGTTCAAGAAGTAACGCCCAGAAGCGTCGTTAACATCACAGAGGGAAATATGACAGATATCTGCCCCATGCGTGGTCTCTACAACGTAACATTGAATGTCTCGTGTGTAATCAAAGGAGGATCTATACCGCACCAAATCCATCTGAGTTCATTCGGCTTTGGTCCAGAGAAGTGTGTATTCTACAGCGTAAGATATAATTACTGGGAAACAGCGCAGTCGTTCCATGTATACAAAGGACTAAACTACCTTATCTTCTTAGGACGGTGAGTTTGAAGACCTTAGCTTCTTTTTCAATTCCTTGCCGCTTTTTCAGCTTTTTTTTTTTTCTTTTTTTGTTTCTTTTGTTTCAGCAGATTCTATGAAAATTGAAATTTGATTGACGACTCGTGTCTTTCCAGTCACGTTCGCCTTTCTGTTTTTCTTTCAGATATAATTGTGGCAGTACTTTATATCTAATTATTTACGTCAATAAAGCTTAGTGTAGACAATGAAACAGGCGTCGATCTTGTTGTCTAGACACTTCTGAAATGCGCACCAAACAGAAAAGCGTGGAATTTGCTTTTGTTTGCCTTAGTCTACGAACGCACATCTCATCCAATTGCAAATCCTCTAGACTGCTTTTCAGATGGGCCTCTGGTTAGCGCCAGGATTCGAGAACTCTGTACTTGTCCTCACCTTTGTGATACGTACATGAAAAAAGTATCTAAAGTGTATTTATTTATAGTGTTATAGAAGAAAGAAATCGACTGTGTATTCTTTAAATCACATTCACAGTAGACGTTAAATTGTGATATTAGGGCGGGTTTTCCACCTGTTCCACTCGTAAATTATTAATTACAACAATTTTGCAGATGCTGTAGAATGACTAAAGAATTATAACGGCTTTTTGTTGCAGTTGTTAAATTTCAGTTATGGTTAGACCGGATTCGTGCTATTTCCTCAATAAAAGAGTCTGTTTGAAGTTTGTTTTTGGTTGTTTGAAATTCGTTCTTGGAATGAAAATTCACGGAAGAGCGCGGTGTCATTTCCGCTCTGATCTCGTTCCCAGTCTCTCAAATTTGAGTGTAACGCCCTCTACCAGGTAGTCCATTGGCTCTGAGAGATGAGTCCATTGCAAAATCATTGCGGTAAAAATTTGAAAGTGTCTTAAATGAGATTTATTTTAATTGTAAATATAAACGTGAAACTCGAAGAGATTCCCTTGTATTTACTCTCATTCCATGAAACACCAGTCATATTTTATCTTGAATGAGTCTCTAACAACCGATATACTTTCTCTTGCAGACACACAGTAGCCAGTAATTCTCAGGGATTTTGGCCTCATGACGTCAACATGCAATACTCAGCGACAGAGATCACTGATGAGAAGTATCTCGAACGAGTCTTTCAGGCGACTGGTGGCCATGCGCACGCGCCTGCAGGAGTGAAAGAACCACACAGTATTTGTACCCCATATATCGCGGGCGCAGGGACTTCTCACGTGGACTTGTCTTTTGTTGTACTGATACTGCTGTTTACGAGTGGATTGCTTTCTTTCTAAATGTGCAGCTTGTCAAAATAATGTTGCTGCATAAAACTGTGTTAAACTTAAAATGACTAACTACGTTCGCTCATAAGGCCTCGCCCTCGAGCACTAGAGGTTCGAAGAAAGTGAATTGTTCAAGGGAGAGCAAATTGTTGCCAGGCTTCAGTTCAATTTGAGATCCAACTTTGTGCAACAACACTTTTTTCCATAGCTTCACTTCCCTAGCATAGTAACTACTAACAAAACTAGGCCACAATTTTAGGTTTTAATCGTATTTTGACTTTTTGAAATCCTGCTAAAGATTGTACCCCCTTAAATTAACGTGGAAGATTTTCCACCGAACGCAGTTATGAGCCAAAATATTATTTAACTTTTCACCCCTCACTGATCATGATCAACTTTTAATTGAGCACAGCTTACAGTTCATTTTTTTATTTGAGCGGTTATTAGCCTTAAACCAAATCAGAAATAACACTCAAAAAGAAGAACACTGACAACAAAACTAACGTGAACTAAGGTAAGCGCTGACAGCAAATGTAAATAGCCGGGCATGTAATGAAGCAATCAGATTTGGTAGTGAAAGCATGCAGTCTGCGCCAAGCAAGGGAAAATAATTCTACGCCAATGACGATTAAACAAAACCAAATATTTCGTATGGCTTATTTAGAGTTGATGACACGGCTTCCTCTGACCAAACCCCGATTAAACTCAGCTAACTCTGCAGGTCTTTAGAGTAGTAAACCCAACAAGGAATAATTCCAATTGTGTATTAATTTAGCGAGCTAGATACAGCTTTCCGCGGCACTAGAATTCGGTGCTCTTTCAAGGCTCAAAAACACCAAGAAAAAGAAACTTTACCTTACTGCTAGCAAATCATAGAAGTAAAAAAATTGACTGAACGAACTTTGTAAATAGAATGTTTAATATTTTTCCATGCAGTCCTTATCTCAGTTGTTTGATAGCGAGTTTATTTGAAATGTTGTGTTTAATGTTAAAGACAAATGACATGGTTTTACCAAAGACATTAAATAATATCAATTTTCTGCTGTGAAGCCTACTGGCAGCTGGTGTATAATGAAATAAACTGGCGTTCAATTGTACGTGGTCTATGATATGTAGTAACAGTCCTTGTGTACAGCTATCTTGTTGGTCACGCATACTCGTTTAACAGGTTCTTGTGTCAGCCATCTCGATTCGTAGACGCCCAAAACATAACAGTCAAGAGAGTTCTTGGGTACAATAAGGACTTTAAAGGAGAGGATCTTGATAGACCCTATTCATAAATGGCTGCCAATTAAAAATTCTTTGGTTAGTATGAAAATTAGCCCAACTAACCTCGCTTTTGAGTTGATAATTCAAAGGAATTTTTATCCTCAAACTAGTTTGGTTGGTTGAAAATAGAAAACAAACTGCGGTCACAAACATGACAAAACAACTCATGTTGTAAAAACCTTGATTTAAGAACTTAACGTTTCGTATGCTTCTACATACATCATCAGAGGTATAAAACGGTTAGCTGCATTACAATAAATTTAAACGATAAGACTAGTACCTAATAAGGAAAACCGGTATCTAATAAGGAAAGAAATGACAATGGATATAAATGAAAATGAACAGACTTCAAATCTTCTGAAAAAAAAAAAACCATATAAATGGCTAGTAGAGAAGAAGTTTCTCACTGCCAACATTTTCATTAAGTGCTGGTTGCAAATCACGAATCAATAATGTTTCTTTAATTTTACAATGCACATCAGATCGTCCGGTGGCTAAAATGTCAAAGTGATCCCATTTTCTCCTGTGGCCTGTCAAGGTCATATGGTCTGCCACGGCACAAGCGTGGTTAGTGCTCGTCAGCGCTTTAAAATACTCCGTTTTCCTGTCATACAACCGACGCTTTGTTTTTCCAATGTAAAAAGCGTTACAATCCCAACAAACAGCCTTGTACACAACCTTCGACATAAGGGAACGGCTGAGTCTGTCCTTACAGGGGAAAAAAGACTTAACACTTCTGATGACGTATGTAGAAGCATATTATCGTATTATCGACCTGAATGAATGTTCAATGCATGTTAAATCATAATATAATTTTGTTTGGGCTTTCCTCACCTGGTTTTAATAACAAATTTTACAATACTGACGAAAACAATATTTCATTAGCATTTACTGGTCCACTTCTGAGAGAGGAACCACGTTCAGAAAAGAGTTTTTATCGTGTCCTCGCCTCTCCCTTAACCTTACACATGCACGTTACGGAATAAATCTATATTATCACTTAAAAAGGTAAATTGCTTTTCATCAAAAAGGTCTTATTTTTTTCTCAAAGTAACAAACGCACTAGTAAGGCAGGTCCTACATTAATGATTAAAGGCCAGTATTATTTGCCAACGCCCTTTACAACAGGTGACAGGTATATTGTGGGGCATCATTCCACATTCTGTATATGTAAAGACCGTAACAGTCAAATTGAAGAATGCTGTTAAGTGTTTAGGCGAGAAGCCAGGGTTTTTTACTGCTGAGATTGCCATAAGCTCTTGTACTATTTCTAACGCTAACTCGTTTAGAATCAAATCAATTTGTTACTGTGATCAAAATGTTACTGCGCGCGATGGCAGCCGTAACTTTCACGGCGCTTTTCGTCGCGTCCTTGCTGCATTCGAGCGACGCAATCTGCAAACATCCAAAAGAGACAAAAGCCTGGAAGAGGAAAGGCTTAGTCGAGCGAGCCATCCAGTCTGACATTGTTATTTATGGTGAAGTATTCAGCAGTCCTTGTTGGAAACCTGGCTTTGTCAAGCCAACTGCAGCGCTGCTAACAACGACAACGCAATATCCAAGTGGAGTCAACTCAACAAATGCAACGAGCAACGCCACAATAACAACTTCGTCTCCTTTGACAATCAATACCACCAGCCCCACCACTAATATGACGACGGTTTCGCCTACACCTCCGTATAATTGCAGCTCGGAATTTTACAACGCCATCATCAAGGTTATCTGCGTGATGAAAGGAGGTTCTGTACCACAGTATGTGTATCTGCAGGGTTTTGGTCATGGCGAGGGAGTTTGTTTGGATGAATCTTATCACGACCATCACGCGTACAATATGTTAAAGTACCTGATTTTTATCCAACGGTAAGATTTCGTTATTTATTCTAGATTTGCATTCATTTAAAAATTCTGTGCCTTAATAATTTTTTCACCTGCTTTCTACGTAAATATATGCTCTTCTTTTTTAACAGACATTGTTGGTCTTCAGACTTTCTTGTGCCATTTTATAACTACTATTTTCGGTTAACATATTTTGGCCAAGGATACAGTATCTAAAATAGTTGTAAACACAGGACTGTTAAAATCGTTCCGTCCTGTATTCTGTCTTTAGTTTGGCTGTTTTCCCCATTAAAAATGTTCTTAAATCCTCTCTTCTATGAACTCCCATTCATTTTCACTCAAGAATAGGTCGAAATGCGTATACGGTAGTTCAGTCAGTTTCAGTAGGTCTTTTTGTCCTCTCGGCTTCGACTCGACTAAAGATTATTAGCTTGAGACAAAAAGTTTAGCAAGCTTATCTACGTTTCTAAAAGACTTTATCACATATCGACTCATCGATTAGAATATACTTCCTGACTTAAAATTTGTAACTACGCTATACAATGTAGTTATGCAACGCTTTTGATGATGTACACGCATCTTATTAGATGTTTTGGTGCGTAGTGTCGCTGTATATTTTTACGAGTTGTGCCGTATTTTGACAAGCCCGTAGGGCGAGTCAAAATACAAACAACGAGTAAAAATAAACAGCGATACCACACACCAAAACATCTAATAAGAGATTTACTGTCCAACTGCTGTAGTAAATAAATTTATCAATAAAAGAGCAAGAGTGTGACAGTCTTGCGTGCGCGCGCCGACCTGTTCGGCAAACAGGTTTTTTACTGTACAAATAACTGTACAGCATCGCTGTACATTTGTACTGTTATTTGGACGGTATTCGCTGCAGTTGAATAATAATCCATGATATACCACGAGAGAAAGTTGCATAACTCTTTTAGGTACTTTGCTAGTTTTTTAGCGGAGCTCTTGCGCGCCGAAGGCGAGCGGAGCCCCATACTTAAGGAAATTTGGTAACCCATCGATCTCAAAAATTCTGGTTGTCACGTTACTGTCCGTACGTCCGTACGTAAGTCCGTATGCCAAACCCAATACCTTGAAAAATAAGGAAGGGTCTCCCAAGTTTTTCACGGATTCTAATAACTTGCGCTTGACTTCGCTGGTAAAAGCTAGAGTTTTACAATTTGTCATATAACCAATCCGTTAAAACAAGGTCGATATATAGTGATGAAATCAGCATTTTAGTGTGCGACTTCGAACTAAAACAAATGCAGACATGGCACAGTATTAAAAGCAATTTAGTCCCCGGCGTTGAAGAGACGGCCTTTTCAAATGTCTTTAAACATCCCAACAAAACAGTCTGCATCAAAACCATTTGTAAAAGAGAAATATTTTTTTCTATTCCTCAGGCTGAAAAACCCAACTGGTAACACTGTATTTAAAATCAACCCAATTAACTATCAGCCTGCCGCTACAGAGATAAACGACGAGAGCGCACTGGATCCAGTCTTTGAAGCCATTGGCCGGAATGCCCACATGCCGCTAGGAGTCATGGGTACTACGGATAGCGTGTGCAAACCTTACGTTGGTTCAGCGCGTGCTTGCTGTTCAAGTGTTCTGTTGATTATATTCGTGTCCAGTATTTTTCTGATGTACTAAACGTGGACCTGCAGAGCTTGGACTGCATGACCGTGAAACAATTTAATTAATATACTAAGCTTTTTCAATCTCGGTGTCAGAATAGAAATTCTCCTCACTAGCTGAAAAGTTTTATATAGTCCTAGTTGAGAGAATTTCAATATAATTCTCTTGATACCCATGCAGACATGTTTTGGGCGATATATCTGGTCAGAGAATTGTATTTTACGTGAAATCTGAGTTCATTGTAGACGGGAGTCCATCACTGACATTAGTGTAAGACAGTCTTCTTCCTGGTGGGGTTACTTTTAGCAATGTATTTCCCGACTCGTGAGTAAACTTGTACTCTCAGAGCGAAACGTTTCTACCATAAACGTCTTCGTAACCATGTTTTATTACATTATTTCTCGCATTGGTATAAATCAAACCCGTGCCCATGCGTAATAGTTATAATTATAATAGATACAGCTGTACACATTTGAGAAAACTGCAGCTGACAAGTTTTGCCCGAGTAGTGACATGATTGAAGCTAACACGAACGTGCTCAGTATTATTACAACAAATCATGCAAATAATAAAAATGCTTGAAAATCATTTGTCTATCAAAATGAAATTTGTAAACTTTGCTTACGACAACGGTACCATATGTATATCTTTGTATAAGCTATGAATGCCGGAGTGTACGTGATACGATCATTTCTTTCACAGCCACTTAGCCATTGGTGTTATATCGGGTCAATTATCAAGTATAAAAAGTACTGTGAGTGAGACTAAACAGCTTACACCGACGCTTTAATCTCAATATCTAAACCATGTGTACAGCTTGTCCATTGTGCACATGCGCAGTACAATTACGTCATAAGCCTATTATGTAACATTGGCAATGGTGCATGACGTTAGTTATCTATCTGCATGCTCGCCATTTGGCTTTTACAAGTACATAAGACAGGCACTTTCCGCTCACAGTGCCTCTCTCCAACCAGGTGTATAAATGGGTCTGCGGCGAATTTGATGCTGGGGGGTAACCAGTATTCCATCCAGGGGGGTCTAGAAATGCTCTTAGTCGATGCTACTGAAACCGGAGATAAGCGCCGGTCTGATGGGCCACTTGGTTCATATGCAGGCTTTGCCTTTGTTTCCGCCTCTCTCTCCTCCTCAGTCTGTCCTCCTCAGAGGAGGCTAGTGGGCTGGTAGTTCGGAGCATCGTCCTCCGGGCGCATTTCACCTTCGCCTCCCCTAGGTAGGGGACAGTTTCTGCCGCGTTCTGATTCAAGTACAGGTCGTATTGTAGCAGGTCGGTAGCATTACATCAGTATTCAGGACACATCAATCACTTGTCTTTTTTACGAAATATTGCCATGCTCTGAACCAGTTGTTCTTAAAATCTTGCCCAAGCGCGTCAACGTTTTATAAAAAATGTTCTCAACGAACTGAACCAGATATTAGCCTCCGTCGCAGTCAACTATGGGCGAAGATCGAGATATATATGTGGCTTATCGTATCATTCCAAAGTGGACTGAGTAGAGGCTTATTCAGGGCAGTTCTAAACTCGTCTAATAGAGGAACGGCAAACAGAATTCACGAGGTGAAGAAGCATTTGATAAAAGACCAGTCGGAACCCAGCATCCGCTTCAAAAGAGCTTTTCTGCTGAGCTTAACACGATTTTCCGTTACGACTGAAGTGGAGTTTAGTGGTATAAATGCACACGTGTGGGGCCATAGTTGTTTTTTAACATTTAAAATAGGGAATTCCCTTTTTTGCGATTGCTTCGGGTACGTCTTAGCTCTAAAACCACGGGTCACTTCAATGGCCGTGCCGACGTTTGTATATTCACCTCAATGCCTAAAAACGTCACTTGACATTACAATGTCACTGCTGCTACCGACCGTGCTAACAACGTAGGTGGTCCAAGCAATAAACAAAAAATAAAAAATAAAAAAAATTCCAGTGTTTTAATCAGCTCCGCCAAGATGGCTAAGGTAGGCCAAGACATGCTTCGTTTTATGAAGTGATCGTATGCGCGAATTTTTATTTAAGGTATTTAGCTCAAGAACATGTTAAGACTGTAAAATCTGCCTTGAAAATCAGTGAATGTCAACTCCGACGCCCATTTGATTTGCCTAGTTGAGATTTTCAAGTATTTTGCAAAGACGGCATATTTCTATTATCTATACAACCAAAAAACTTTGTGGTGAGATGCAAAATTTCGTCAAAACAATGGTACAGTGATAATTTGCTAAATATAACGTTCTTTATATTATTTACATTTGGGATGTCTTTCTCCAGTGTAATTTTTCTTAACCCTTTTATCTTAATTACAGTTCGTCACGGCATCGTAATTCTCACAGATTGACTTACTATTACACTCCACAAAAAAAGCATAGCTGTTAAATACGTTTTCTGAAAGCGACTTTTTCAAACTAGTTGTTGTTTACAATTTTTTATGTCGCTACGGTCAGTTTTGGCTATTCAACGCACGCTAAGTCAGCAATGTGTAAAATTTCAACTATTTACTCTGCCCTGTGGAACCGTAGCTTTCAAGCGGTATTCGGCAGGGGATTCCAACATGCAATCTGCTAGTTTCTCTGTGCCCTGTCCGCCTCAAGCTGAGAGCTATTTGTCCGATCATTTTGGAATAAATCTGTTTTGACGAGAGAGAAGACAGCTCCCTGTTAATTCTTGCATGATAGTTGCAACCATGCGGTTTGAGCCCTTAAAAGCGGCATTGTTCAAAGCAAAAAATAGCTATACAAAGCGGTTAATTGTCCATGAAATAATACCTCCATTAGCAACGAAGTTTGTCACTTCAAGCAAACTATGTGCTTTTAGGGAGTTATTAACGTGATTCTTCAAACATGATCAAAAGCTCAAAAAGCTACGGATCACAGCAACAAGGACTTGAGAAAGCCAGTCTCATTTGACATTTGTCATTCATTCGGTCACAGCCGCTGACTCATCCGATGCGCGCATCAGTAAAGCTTTTAAAACGGAAAACTCTGAACAAAACAAACGGATGCGATAACGTTTTGCGTTCATGTGCATTTAGGCCTTATCCCGCTCACGCTGCTTACGCATTAAACTTCATAGTTTATTTATTTACAAGATCACGGACCCAAAGATCCTAACCATCACTCAATTCTACTTTAATTACATCTCGCGTGTCAGACCTCGCGGAACGTCTTTGAGAGCTGTACTTTAATACTGAACTACTGTAGTGTAATGAGTTATCGAAGGCTAATAATTTGCTATCAAACTGACATTAATCCCTCTTCATAAAAACGGAATTAGCCGATTACTAGTGTTTCTTTTGACGCCATTTGTACAAAGAACACAATCTCCCAGATCTTATTACAGTCCATCTGTCTGTTTATCCTGTCTTTGTCAAGACACCTTCGTGTGTCCGAGCACCTTTTGTTCGTTCGTTTGTAGAAGCTTTAACTTGCAATTAATTTCTAATCGTCAGTGCATTAAGACCAAGAGTATTCATATTAGGCAAGATAAAGTATTCACTCCCGTGAGCAAAGAACCGTCAGACAAAATTAACTAACGCGTATTCAAGTAAGAACGAGACTTGTCACTTAGTCTTCAATTTAACCAAACAGTTTTTCCCTGTGAAATATCTATTATTTACAGGGTACTTAATGATTTTTTTTAAACACGGCTATTTGTAAACAATAAACGATCAATTCACTGTACACAAGTTCATCGGCGAACTTAGTTAAGTCTTGCTGCGAATGTGCATTCTGCGTTGCTGTGAAATACGCCGATATTGAGTGATAAGTAATATATTTTACCTCAGTTCTGGTCTAGTACAATGTGTTTTAAGGCTATCTGTCTTATAATGTACTGTAAGAGATTCTAACAATTTCACAAGCTGTTATCTGTTACGTGCGGTTTAACTCTAACCAGTCGCCCAAAAAAGCGAGCTAGCTCGTCATTACAGCCTTCTCGAATGAACTACTTTAATTAAGGTTTTCCTGTGGCAAAATGCGACGACAAAGCATCTTCCGCAACCGCAAATTTGCTGATGTTCCTGACGTTGTAATCTCGTAATGTTGGAACACACGTGTTAATATACATTGCACATTTCCGTTTCGCAGCGCGCTCGGCCATTGTGTCGCAGAAAGCACTCCATTTGAAGTAGCGTGTTTGCGCGAAGTAATGAGTTATACTCAGTTCAACCATGATCGTGCAAAGGTGAATTGCTAATTGAACGCAGATTCATCCTGGGAGAGGAGCACGGAAAATCGCGCGAAAGTCGCGCGTTGTAAATCCCACGCGATCACGAGTCAAAGCGCACTTTCATCGCTTTGTGTGGCGATTTGTTTACCTTGCCTCAGCAAAGCCAAAAATCAAGTTTGGTGCCACTTTACAACGACTAACACCAAACCGTGAAAAATCAACACGAATAACCAACAAATATTGCTCGTCCAACAACCTCCGCACCTTGTGGAATGATTGTGCAACAGAAAATCCACATTGCCGTGTCTCAATACGGTCGTTGAAAGCAAACTGGATTTCGTGCGCTTATCACTCAGGCGAGAGGACAGTTTTGTTGTTGTGCGACTCATTTGCGTAGACGGAGAAGTGACAACATGACACTTTTTGCGCCTTCTCTTTTTGTGCTTGTGGCAATGAATTTTCTTTGTGCCGCTCGCAATAGCGGTAGGATGAAAATACGGCTGAGGTGAACCCTTTGGACAGCCAGGCAAGCTATCTTTCGTTGCTCCTAGCGGTAAGGTAGCATTCTTTCCTACCATGTCCACAATGTCTTTAAGCACGGCTCTACTTACTTTGTGTTTGATAGGTATTGTTGCGCTTTGGACGTTGACTTCGTCAACAAAGAACGCTGTATTGTTTTCCTGTGTGCCCGTGTCTCTGCGAATAAATGCAATATATGTTCTGTTCAAATAAGCGGCAGAATGCGTACACAATCCTCCAATGAATCCAAAGCCGGAGACGTTGATAAATTGAGGGACTATTCCTCCTTTGAGGGTACAGTGAACTTCAAAGAGAGCGCTGTACAGACCCTGATGGTCTTTCTTCGGTCCTTGTCCGGGACTCGCCCTGACTGTTCCATATATCACGATGTCTGCTTTCTTTACTCGTGCTCTGGGCCTCAGCGGCAACCAACCGTCAGGCGGTGAGCAACAGAACGCGATCAGAATGTAGTTGAGCAAAATCCCCGAGAGAATTACAGCATGCGCGAGTTTCATTATGAATCGCTTATCCCGACAAAGGCGGCTGAAGAATATTCCCAAATCAAAGGTTTGCGAACGGGCTAGCTAGAGACTTGACAACTTTTATGTCGTAGCAAAACTTGAAGTGCTAGCATCGAATGACAGGGGACTGATTTGAGGGGGCGGCGCAAAGCTTTGTGGAAAGACTCCGCGGGGACCCAGTTGTGTAAACATCTCGCAATAATTTGTTGATCCAGCCGACTAACAGTATTAAATTGCAAATGGTGTACCTCTTGTGTTGAGACTGTTGATTTCAAATTAATTGTACAAATATTGATTAAGATTGCGCGCTTTCTCGAAACGGGGTCAATTTTAGAATGGTGAATACGTATCAAATGCCCTCTCAGTCGCTTTTAGCTGCGCGGAAATTGAGTCGGAAGCATTCAAGATGTTATTTAAGGTTATCACTGCAGAAGGAACAGGTTCTGGAAGCAATAATCGGATTAATCAATTCCCGGTAAAGCGATACAACCGTGCAATTTAAAGCTAGTGGACTTGTTTAATCTTTTATATTATGCTTCGTCACTTATCTGTAGTGCTGGGTGACTGAAAACTGGTAAATGCTTAAACAAAACAAATATGCAAATCAGGCTGCTTTAATGTGGCTCGCTAAACGGAATGCAAGGGAACACAAGCATGACACGCGAGGTCCAGGGACACAAATGTATCTTTCTGTGTTCGTCTTATCAGCGTGGATCAGTGATCGAAACCCAAAATCCGCAGACATTTCCACCAAGATAAGATTGCACTGTTTTGATAAAAAACATTCCCCTTGTCTTAAAGCTGCCGTGTTATGTGATAGGGATTGAAATGTTCTTAAAGAAAGCTTTTGTCTTCGCCAAAAACACACTTGATTTGTTGAAAAAAAGCAGTACTAAATAACTCTGAGACCGGAAAAACAAACAGATTAAAAACACTACACAATGGAGCGACTCACGACCGTCTTTTTTGCCTTTTTCCCTCTCATGGTTTTTTCCAGGTAAAATGCTTCAGATGTTTGAAAGAATCAATAGCGTTTTTAGCAAGCCAGATGGTAAATTCATCTAATTAAAAATCTTTTATCGCTGTTTCTCATGAACTTTTCTCCGAGAGACACATCAACTGTTGTAACTATCTTCAAAGATCAAAATTCCAAACATTCTAATCCGGTATTTAAAGAAAGCATTGCAGTCGTAAACAGCTCAGTATTTTGTTAAATAGCGTATTCAGTTTCCTACGAATTGCGTATTAAAAGCGCATTAAAGCCAAAACAAAACAAGTGGGCTAAATCTAATCGGTTTTGTCCGATAAGTTATGTACAGTTTCTTATGGCTTGGCGGGAAGCAAAACCGCAGCGCAATTTCCTATGTGACGTGCGCTGTGCATCATCCGCATGATCTGAAAAACAACTCCAAATATTTGAGCTGGCTTCGCAGTTTGCACAAGGTCAATTGAGAAAACAACGAAGCGATAACATAATTGCACCCAGCTGACAAAAGGCTCTATATTAAGCTTAATCTAGAGGCGTCTAAAAGCTCGCGGAAGCATTTAATTAAAAGCACTTAAAAGAGATATCCGGTTATCGTACGATAAGAGCTTCAGATCTCTCAGGTTAACTTTCGAAATTTCCGCTGTTCTGTTGAGGACTTTGGTCCCTGTTGGTGTGATTAACTCTCAAGCAGGGGGTAAAATGCCAAAATTTGCTGCTAATAATTGTACTTAAGGGTTTGACACTGTAAAACTTATAACATGAGTTACCCGCCGATGACAGCTCAGTCATACCGCACTGACCCGGTGAAGTAGTTGCAAATTAAAACAGTGACTTCTCTCTACTTCTTGTCATTTATCTACTCGTACTGTTCTTTCAGTCTCTATCACTCCCGGGTTTTGGTGTAAATAAAACCGACATTTTCTATCTTGAAACCTTGAAGCCGATCTGACAACAAATCGATGTGAATTCGCCAGATTCCTTCACTGAGTGCAAGAAGAATGTCGAACGCGTGACAATTGTAATATTTATTTTCTAAACCTTCGGCCACTGGATCAAACTTTAAGTAAATCAATGGGTAGACGTTTTAAAAGTCCGATTTCCAATATTATTTTCTTATGTGATTGCTGTCTGAACGTTAAAGGTCGACTTTTTGAATAGGGTGTGACCATTCGAATACAAGCTATCAAGGCTGTTGGACCGCTGGATACTTAGGAGTGCTAGCTGTCACTCGCGTTTTAAACTTCTGGGAGAAATCGCTTTCAAAAATAAGTCTTGAATTAGAAAGACTCGGCTAGCACTGGCACTAGTCAGTTTGCATTTGCGTTTCCCAAGAATTCTGAGATTGATCAACTTAACACAGCCGACTGCTGAATATGTCTCCAACGGATTTGCGTCGAAGAGGACATTAAATCTTTCATCTTTAGGAAACATCTAACATTTGCGATCTCGGAGATGTCAAGAGAGCAATTCTTACGATTCAGGTATCAATAAAAGAGGAATTTTTTCACCGGGTAGCCGGAGCCGGCCGATTCATTGCTTTGTCGATCTTCGTCGCCATATGTGTCGCTGCATGGAACATACGGTCAGTATTAGTGTCTGGGTGATTGACAATGAGCTGATCGATTTGTTGGGAGAAGTTAACTGTCCATCAGGTTTTAAAACTCTGCACCGCGCTAGATGAGGCATTGTTTAGTCAAAATGTATAATCAGTGAATCGTGGAGCCGACTGACTCATTCATCGATGAATCATTGTATGTGATTTGGAATAAGCGTTTTTCATTCCTCTCTTTCCCAACCCGTCTCCAGTCCAGAAATAGAATTATGACGTAATACTAAGGGCAGGGTCTGGGGAAAGTGCATTGGTAAAAAGCGGCCTTGTCGACCCACTGACGCGTTTTGCTTGGAAGAAGGAACCCAATTCAAAGACTTTTCTTTTTCGGCACGACAAATCATAAAACTTCGTTTCTTTTCTTTGGAATTCTGAGGCAATACTCTACAATTTAACCCTGCGGTACTGGGCCCCTTTGGGACATTGATTTGGGAAGAAACAAGTCTGATTTTCAGATACCCACGGCCAGTTGAGACAGTTAAGCTGTGGCAATGCCGAGCTCGCTGAGACTTTCCAAGAAATGCAAACTCTTCCTGTCAGCTAAAATGATACCAGTTATCTGCTTTTAATTTTAGTCACTGTTTATACTCTTGCCATTCCGATATGATATCGAGCTGTAAAACGGGACCATGAATCGTGCTCTATATCGTCGCGGAGAGACACACACAAACGTTCATCTTCCCATTAATCGATGCACTATAAAATTCTCAATTCATCCGGGCTCCAATTCAGTTAGACTCATATTAACTGCAAACATGTAATTTTTGCCCTTTTCACAGAAGATCGGACCGCCCGTCTAAATTGAGGCCCACACAAAAAAGCTGCTGTGGTGAAGTTTTCAGGATTGCTTTTTAAGATTTCAAGTGACCCTCGTACGATTTGAAACTCTTTTTATTCCAAAGCCCAACCGAAGCTGTCAAGGGGCTGGATGTCTTGGAATTGAACTTTGGCTTCAGTCAAGTTTAGAGTGGCCCTAATGATCGATAGAATCGATTTCTCATGCTTAAAATTACTAGCTGCCAAAAACTAGGAGGAAATTTACCAGTTGTTATCACTAAGCGATTTACAGGCGTAATATATGAACACCCGTTACATTGCACTTTTATACTGATAATTCACCCTGCCAAGAAAAAAAAAAGTAAGAATCAGTAAACGCCATAAGCTCCCTCGATGAGCAGTTTGTGCCTTTAGAGCAAAAGAGTTAAAAATATTGTTTAAATGATAAAGAAAAGTGTTAAAGGTTTCCAATCGTCATCACAACGCAGGGTTTCGAAGAAACGGTGAGCAACTGGCCGTCAAGTAGCAGCGGCGGAAAAACCGCCAGCCTGACGCGCCGTAAATGATGACCTGTTAAACTAAAACTTCCGATCCAATTTGGATACATCGATTACTTTCAGCGAGCGGAATTCCCGGTGCGAAGGCTCTCCAAAAGATTATTTTTATCAGCTTAATCCAATTATTTTATTAAAACAAGGCAGAGTACAGCGGAATTTCATCATTTAGTGGCATGTCTCAAAAGATATGACGTCGTGAAATTGATATTTTTTTATTGAATACAGAAGAAGCCGGAAATCTCCAAGGGTGATGTGCCCCGTGTGCTTTATCTGTAGTAAAACATGACAAAAATTGTCCTGGCTATATTGAGCTGAAAAAGGCATGATCTAATCTGTATTTTTCCAATCGATTTTTCCTTCAAAAGGCATTCATTTTTATGTTTCTTCATAAACACCTTTGGGCCTGAATGTCTAAGGCATGCTTGCCGCGCATGAAGCCGTTTGATAAACACATTGCAACTTAAGCAGGAATACTGTTGTTGAACGACATCAGTAGGGGGATAGCTTGTGTCGCAGACGCTACATACCACCGGTATACAACAGGTATATTACAGGGTTAAATTTCCGTCTGCAACACAGGCTATAGGAGGAATGTCACCACCCGCTGATGGAGAAAGGAGGCCCCCGCTCCTCCCCCGGATTACTTTCCGGGTAGGAATGTAGACCGGATTCGAGTGCAAAATGGGCTTGACAGGCCTGCACGACTCCCAAGCGCGTGTTTTAGCCTTTTTCATAGTTTGGATCTCACGAGTTTATCTTTGAGCGAACGCCCTCTTTTGTATGAAATAAGGGGCGGATCTCTGAAGCTTTCGCTGAATGGTTGTTGTTGTTCTATTAAATGCCATTTCATGAGAATTTGTTTTAGGTTTGGCACTGATGGTTGATATGTTGTGACAAAAGGCAAGATTCGTTTGTTTTCTTTTTGTTTTGGTTGGAGGGCTAATTTCCTATTTTCAAATTTCACTTTTACTTGAGAGAGCCTACCTCTCTTTTGGCATATATATCGCGGTAGAGATCGAGAACTCTTGCCAGTCTCACTTGGTACCTGTACATTTTTTTTTTTCAATACAAATGTTGCAAGGGACCGCATACGAAAATGCTGCTGGTATACGTAGGATCTGTAAAAGATCTGATCAGCCAAAAACAGAAACATAACAATGAAGCAAGGTTAATTACTACGTAGGAAGCTTAACGGGACAACGACATGATAGAGTCCAAACTGAAAGCCAAGAATTGCAGTTTGGATTCTATCATGTCGTTGTCCGGTAAGCTTCTTACGTAGTAATCAGCCTTGCTTCATTGTTATATTTTTTATGTTTCCATACACGTTCGTTTCGAGTCAAATAGGCGTGCATAGTCTTTTCGTCAGTACTCTGTAGGGCTTCTCTAACAAACCTGTGCTCGTCCGGGGAGGCTCCCAAATCTTACCTTTTGACAGAAAATGGCACCCCTTTCAGTTACCTATAGAAAGCAAACTGTCTACCCTTTCTATAACGGCCGTAGCCCATTTAAAACCCTTAGTGACTCACCCGTTAGGTGTGTCTGCTCAAAACATTTTTCAAAGGCTCTTAAATACCTCGTGCTGATTAAATGGCAGTTTC